ACCTTCTCACAAAATTCTTTAAAGCTTTAACAAGCCTCTTTTTTAAATCCAATATAGGAAAATTATCTAGGTTTTTGTTTGTTATTTGTATATCCCTTTTAATTATTAAGACATCAGCCGGTTTCTTTTGTATGTCCAGTACAGCATCTTTTTCCATATCATTCTTGTAGCCTGTCATTTTTAAGTCCAGTTTCAGTTCAGTCTCAACCTTGTCAGGTAAAACTTCTTCTTCCATAACATCTTTTAAACACAGTCTATCTATAGAGACAGACACTTTTAGTGGAGCCGTCTTCAGTTCGCCATTTCTTTTCTGGAAGTTGCTGCTGGCTTCAGTCTCAATGTGTGGCAATTTAGTGTGGCAACTGCTCCACAGGATGTCTGAGGCGGGATCAGCAGCTTAGCCATACTGCCCCATTCTTTGCTTGTGGATGCTACAGAAAATGCCCAGATCAGACTAATATAGTGCAACATGGGGGAAAGACTGGCATGGGATACCCTAATCAGAAACCCAAAATCCAAACATGGAAGTAACATGATGGCTTAAAGATAAGGATGTGCCACAACAACTGCCATATCGAATAAACTTGATACCATTCTTACAAAACAGAGGAAGGGATAGTTTAAGTCTCAATAGAGATGCACCACAGATTTTCCCTTCAAAATAAAGCCTTGAGGACTGGGAGGGCCTGAAGGAGAGTCGATGGTTCAAATCAGCAAATCTATAGTGAGCCACTGTGAAGAGTGGTGCATACCTGGAGAGGTATGGACAGATATCAGAGGGCCATAGCATCATTTTTATCTCTTTTGCTCTAGTCAGGGCAGAGTGGATGACATGCCAGGTGCTGATAGCAATGTGGCAGAGGCCTGGAGGTCTCCAGCAGGAGATGAAGATCTTAAACTAGCCAGAGATGAGATATGAGGGTCATCAGGCAACTTTGGAGACAAGGGAGGACCACTGGAAACAGATGCAGGCGAATCAGCTGTGATAGCTACAGATTCTGCTATTTTAAAAATATGCTCGCAAAGAATGACTCACGAATGGGATGAGTGATTGCATCAAATCTATTTAGTAAACACCTGGCAGTGTTTACATGAATTTAATGCATGGCCTTCCCCAAGGCATAAAAAGCAAATATTCTATCCATCAATTTGGTACCTGCAGAATAGAGCTTTTGTGGCTAGAACCTGTGCCTTCATGTATGAAGATAAGTATAATAAGATGAAGAAAATCTAAACAAATGGAAGAATCCAACATGAAGCTCAGAGAATGAACATCCAATCACTGTGGCAGTTGCAGAGTGGGATTAATACAGTTCCTAGTAATGCATGCTGTGCACAAAATAGGAGGCTCCTGCCCAGAAATTGGTATGCTCTAGAAAATTTTAATGGGCTCCCTTGCAGGCACAGATTCCCAGTGCAAGAAGGTATCCATGTAAGCCACCAGGAATTGAGGTGCATGAGGCGATGAGGCATATAGTTGCCCACTTCAGAACCCCAAGTTAAGAAAGATTCCATTATAGTATGAGACTAAAAGTAAAAAAACAAATGCAAATTATTACTCAGCCATGAAGCTTGTGTTGTCTTTGGACCTAACCTCTGCCTGAGCTGTGTTTGTGCACCATGAATTCCTTAACCACAATTTCCCTATTTAACCCAATTGCCTGACTTCACAAAATACAATGAACTATAATCTAGCCAATCACATTTTAGCTTCATTTATTACAGCTAGAATAAAATAGGATAAAATGTGGATCTAATGGATGAAGGAGAAACTATGATGCTATCTTGAGCTCCTTGGAATTAAGGCTGGATAAAAATGTCATAAATTGTACTAAATAAGGTGTGAACAGAATAATTCCTGGTTTATCTTCTTGGTCACTATAGTAGCTTCTGGTAAGATTATGATATGCCCTGTATTCTAGAATAACCAGAGGTCCTATGCAGATAAGAAATACAGCAGTACTGATCACGCCTCCTTGTCCCCATGCAAATAGTACTTGCTAATATATTTCTGCAATTCAGAAGCTGCTTATATTATAAGTAAAGCATCTGGTGAATGCCATAAAGTTCAGCTTATTTGAAATATGTAAACATTGTATGTAGGTTATGAGTAATTATTATACTCTATTAAGTGCTGTTGCGGAAATAAATCTGCTTTTAGTAGCATCGTGTTTAATCACAGCAGTGCTCAGAGTGACAAGGGTTACTAGATCAGAACACACTTTGTCATCAATTTAGAGATTAGTTCTAGATAAATCAAAGTCTTGGAAGTTTCCTATAAATTAACAGGGCTGAATGTCTTTTCCTGAATTAATAAGGAGCATTTCCTGAGACAAACATCAAGGTCACTTGACTCAAGCTATATAATACCAAATGTCTACAGAATGCTTAAAACCTGAAAAATCTTCTCTTATGGAATATCCTTAGTTGTATTTCACATCCTACTGTAATTATTCGCTTTGATATGGTCAATTGACTAATCAATAAAGTATATCACTATTACTATCATTATTCTTCCTTTTTAATTTTTTTTTTAAACTATTAATCTCATTCACCTTAGTTCCCAAATTCAGTTCTTCAACTAGTCATGTTGCCTTTATAAATACAAAAATATGTCTTTTTGCTTTCTGTATTTTTGGCAAGAATGATAGTTTACACCAAGTATTACTCTACTCAGCTACTACATTTTTCTCCTCTTTTGTCTGATATTGTCTCATTTCAGTCCCCTTCTCTGTCCATCAGCTGTGAAAATAATTCTCCTCTCCTCACTTTGATTATGCAATGCCCCTCCTTGTATCACTACACTTATTTGTGTTCTTGAATCCAGCATAACCTTCAGAGTCTTAGGTAGCTTTGGAAAAAATGGGTTGTATGGGCCATAATTCAAATAGTTGACATCTTCAGTGGCACCAGATTGATCTCCAAGCCTAACTCATGCTGCTATTTTCAACCAAAACCACCAAAAAACATGAAGGATCAGATGATCTTCAGGAATAATATCTCCAGTTGCCTGAGTCATTTTATGGCCCTGAATTCTGTTTCCTCATCCAAAATTGGTTGAGGCGCAATAATAAATGACGCTTTTTCAGTAGCAACTTCTAGCAGCTTCTAGGAACTTTCTGTCCTGCAGGAAGCCAGTACAGTTGATTAAAAGCTCAGTTTTAGACACGGTTAAAACTTTTCTTTCAGAGGATGCAAAGATGGGACTAATGAAAAGTATTAATTAATAATTTGTTGTCTGGTGCTTTATCATTTGGTTTTATATTTTTCTTAAATACCTTGCATTCCTTGTTACACAAATCAAAATTTGGTCAGAGCAGACTCACTGAAATTAATGAGATTTTAGTAAGTGTTTACTTATCACATGAATTTCAGTGTGTCTATTTTAAGCACAATTAAGTCTAAATCCACAATTTCTTCAATAAATAAAACAAATTCTTACCTCACCAACCATTTTTACATCTTCCCGGCCATACCAGTCAGGTTCATACACTTCATGAAGAGACTCTGTAAGCTTTTTTGAAGCATCTTGCATGCCTAAAATTTTTGAGCACAAAGAGTCTATTGTTGACATCTATTATCTCATAGTTGAATTACCCTTTGATCAGGGTCATCTCTGAAGTCTATACACATGTAAATAAGGCTAAGGAACAGGCTTTTATTAGAATTCATTACTTTAAACATTATTTCAAAAATAATAGAATGGATACAAAAATTAGTAGTGATCAGATATCAATAACAAATACTAAAAATGAACAAGTTTGATTGTATTTTTTTTCTATATAAAACTGTATACTACCATGGCTGTAGGCTAGACCACAACATTAAATAACAGCAATAACAACGGCAGTGGCCAACCACTTCCTTATTGTTGCCACCATCACAAGAGTCAAGCTCAACCCAAGGCAGACATGACCATCATAATATAATATCTGCAATCACATACCTGCCAGCATTTCAGAATCACAAAGAAGGATTTCAGGTTTTTTTCCTGGCCAATACAAACCATTTATGGAGGTCCTTTTTTTCTTTTTTTAGAATATTTGAATAATCTACTATTGCCACAGTGTGGTTTTATACCTGCCTATTCAGATGTGAATCCAGTTGGGTTCAAATGAGGATTTTTCACAGTGTAAACGGAAATTAGGATTGCTCCCTCTTTAATAATAATTAACCAATACAGACAGAATCAGATATAGTACTGAGGTAATTTCTGGGGAAAAAAGACACATAAAGATAAAAATGTCCTTCCATTCCACTTCTCCTATTTCTGACCACTGATTATAATATATAAATAAAGTATCATCAGGACAAACACTTTTATAACCTTTGCCTCATGTTTATTAAAAGAAAAAAAAAGCTAGGCTCACTTATTAAATTCACCAGGCTTCCAGCCATTGTGCAGTGAGTAATAAACTCCCGGGTTCCTGGAAGGAATGTAAACTGCAGATGAAATGCAACCCATATTAGGCTGCTTTACCTGTAATTAGCTGAAAAAAGATCACGTTTCTAAAAAGGGAAGGAAGGTAAATTCTTTGTTAAGAAAATGGGCAGTAAGACAGCATGCCAGGAAAAAAAAAACAACCCTATCCCACACTGAGGAACAAGAAGAACCTTTTCAACATAAGTTTGGCAGTTCAGTTCTTTGGGGCCTCTGATATTTATAGGCAGAGTTTTGCAATGGAACCACACTTTCTGAAAAAAGCAGTTCCAGGAAATATGTGATGGTAAGTATGTCACCTATATGCCTACTCAATCTGCTGACTGTTCATGGCTGATCTCAAGGCCCTCTTCCTTGTGATTCTGTAACTTTTCACCAGACTTGTGCTGGCTAGACCTTCCTGTAGAACACAAAGTGCAACATTTGGGAGGCTGATGGTCAACCATGCATGATGTTCTAGATACAAGCAGGTAAAAAGGTGGCAGAGCAAAGACAAGATGAAATTTGGTTGAACTTAAATGCAATATTTCATTCATTTAAATTAATTTAGTGAAGTTCATATGATTATTCCCTGTGTACTTAACAATTAACCCCTTCTGATTTGTTTAATATTACAGTTCAGAGTATCTCAGCTTGTGGCAGTACCGAAATGTGATAGAAAAACAAATTATGCAATAACTTTTGGTTGAAGGACTGGTGTTCCATCCATTTATCTGGGATGGCTTCATGCATCTACAAATGTAACCAAGGTACCCAAAAATGGGTAAATATTCTCTACGTTTTCTTCAAAAAGGGGACAGCTCTCTGTGAAATAAGGGTACAAATGTACCCAAGCTGAGGAGGTGGGACTAGAACTCACTGTCTCCCGGTTTTACCATAAGTTCTAGTCCCACCTTGGGCACAAAGCCAGCTGGGTGACCTTGGGCCAGTCACTTTCTCTCAGCCCTAGGAAGAAGGCAGTGGCAAACCACTTCTGAAAAACCTTGTCAAGAAAACTGCAGGGACTTGTCCAAGCAGGCTCTGAGAATCAGACATGATTGAATGGGGGGGGGGGGGGGGGAGCTTAGGAAGAATATAAAAGGGGAGCTCATCTTAAAGCCACTTCAGTTATCTGAAATAGCTCAGTTTTTTCTTGCAGATGGGTCACAGAGACCTGTTTGTGTTAATGCTGACTAAGCTAACTCTGTATTTTTCTGATATGATTTAGCCTGTTTTAACCTGAAATAAAATTGGGTTAGTGAAAAATACTTTTTGTTCAATTGTGATGTTACCAAGTCATGGCCCTACACAGCTCCCAGAATATGAGGCCTTGAATGTAACTACATCATCTGAAAACTTGGACTACCCAATAATGGGGGACAAAAGAGAACAGATCCAAGAGGAAGCACAAAGCCTCAGTAGTAGACAACCTGTTACCCTCCAGAGCTTTTGTACTCTTAAATCCCACCAGGCTCAGCCAGCATGGCCCATGGAAAATGACAAGGGATTGTGGGAACTCTAGGTCAATTTCTAGAAGGCACCAAGTGGCCTATCCCTTGCAAAGAACTGCACATTCAATAGGATTCCATCATTATGGAATGTCATGGTCAGATGTTACACTGATCTTCTTATATTTGTAACAAATGGGTGACTGAATGCTTCTAATTTTCAGACAAAAATCTGTCTGAACTTTGTTGTTTTCTGTCCTGTCCACTTGGCAAAGAAGAATCTCCACAAGGTCTTTTGTAAATTAAATCTATCTATCCACCGAACTGATGAAAATTATGCTCTTCATCTTAACTAACACTTGGGGAAAGTTCAGGGGAATGAATTTTTTAAAATATATTTCTGAATAATGACAATTCAGTTGCTGGTTATGCTTTATCCAACAAGCAGTTAAATGTGTAACCTGATGCTGCTAAGTACAAAATTAGAAAGTCAGGGAACTTCCCATTAGGAAGTATTTATATGTGGGTATTTGGGGATCCTGCTGCAGTTTAGTAACAATAATTACCTTTCTCACTGAGCTGATTTTTGTATCTCATATGGACTAGCAGTCTCATTCTACTATTTGTCTCAGTGGCTTGATAGGCCATTGATGACATCTGGACAAAGCAACTTCACAAGCTTCACAAACAGCTAATTAAATTTTACATTTAACATTTGCAGCAAAAGACTAAAATGTGCTGCTTTCATTGCAATTACCTTTGATTGCAGCTAAATATCCTCGGAGTTCTTTCTGAAGTCTGGAACCTTCTGCCTGAAATACAAAACCGAAATAAAATCAAATCCTGTATGCAACTCAGTTCCATGAAGAAAACAACTGAATTCCCATAAGTGATTGTTATATATACTGTATGCAGTATATAGTTGTATTAATGTAGTCTATCAATGTAGACAAATTTAATCTATTAAAAATCTTTAAAAAATGAAAATGTTCTCTAGCAAGCAGCTAAAAAAAATCATCACATATTTACCGAGTGAAGCAATTGTTTAGCTAGTTTCTATAGCGCAAAAACGATTTTCTACAGTTTACTAGGACTGAGTGCAAGTCGTTTGATGTGTCTGGCTGTGCTCCTTGAAACTGTGAAGCAGCCACTTGAAGGCTAACCTGACATACCCAGAAGACCCAGAATGATCTGCAGAGGCCTACTGTTTAAACAGGACATACACAGATATACACACAGTAATGTACTATATTGTAATGTAATGGAGAGCCAGTATGGTATGATGGTTAAAGGGTGCTGGACTAGCAATGGGGAGACCCAGGTTCTAATCCTCTTTTAGGCATGGAAACTGGCGGGTCAATCCCTCTCTGTCAGCCCTAGACTAGGAAGTCAAAAAACATCTATCTACCAATTCACACTGGACCAGCATGGTAGACCATGGTTCATAACCTTCAACAAAAGGGCTTCATAGCATGTCTGGCCACTGTCGACTTTTGCAATTAATTTTCTTTATTTCTGGAGTTAAGTATAAAACTGTAAGCCATACAAAGACATGAACTGGGTAAAAATTACATTCAACATAGCTGTGAGACCTGTGGGACTGCCTAAGGCAAATTTCTACCATATGTTTGTCCAATCCAATACTGTACCATTTTCTCTCTCCCAGCCAGTAGGAAGGCTTTGTTAATCAAGGTTTATTTAAAACAAACCCAGACATATTTAAAAAGGGGAAACAAATAAACATCAAAGCACGAGTTACTATAATATTCTGAGTATGTTATGTGCAAACATTTCAAGTACCTACATGAGTATAGACCAAAAATGACAATTTACTTTTTAGGTAAGTTAAAACACTGAATTATGGAAAATTCAAAACTTTTGGGGAAAGGCCAACTGTTAGTTTATCATGTAACAGCAGAAAGCTTCAACATATCTGTAATCAACAGCAAATTCAGTCTATGAGTATGGATCCTATTTCACTCATTATTTAGTCACATTTCTTAGTTCAGGCTTAAGGGGAGACTGCTCCCACAGTATCAAACACAACTTGAACCCCAATTACTGATATCTTGTTTGGTTGGATCTATCCCTTTGGGTCTTAAAAGACAGAAAGTATACTGGATAGTTAACAAATAAATAAGAAAAATCTGTGCAACACAGACCACATTGCACATTTTACTTATTGGATAAGTTAATTACAAACATTTGGAGCTAAGTAACATTGCCCAACTTTACTCTTAGAGTATAATTAGCTACAAGAAGGCAATTACTTTGTTGTAACATAAAACTGTGAGAATTTCACCATCAGCTAAAGATCACAACCTAAGACTTGAAGGTCTATTGTTATGTCTTCAGTGTCTGTTTTCTAATTTAATAATCCTTAGAATTATAAATTGGCCAAATTGTACACTGTGACCTCAAAATAATTTTGTATGGTACTGTATGACACTGAGATCTAAGATTCAAAGAATGGAATCTTGCTTAGGGTTTCCAAAGGAAATAACATTTGAGCCAGGGTCTTCTTATTTCACAGCAAATATTAAGCCAAGAGTCTTCCCCAGGATTTCTTGCTAATCATTAATGTCACATTTAAGTTTGATTTGACTGAAGTTTGCATCTCTTCATATAATATTTACAATAACGCTTTGAAAGGTGGACAAAAGACAAAGCTGTTAAATAGGTCCACAATTAATCTTTTTCAAGTGTTGACTGAGCATATATTTCCATTGAAATGCTTCGGGTGGCCTGAATCTTGCAAAGAATTCTGGGAACTGCAGAAGAGCCTGGCCAGTTTCCTTAAACAATTTGTTTTACAGATACACTCACAAATCAACTGTGTTTGGTTGACTGAAGAGAAACAATTGAAATAAAACACAATTGGTACAGGCTGTGAAACACAGATAGGCTCCAAGAGCTTTTTTAAAGCAAAGAAGAAAGCCATCAAATTAAGGTATTTGGCAGTTCTGTCATCTGTTGGATTAAATACAAGTATGACAGTTTGATTAATGTACTTAATAACTTCTTGAAGGAAGAAAAGGGCTGCTTTTGTTTGCTACCAAATCCTAATATGTAATATATTCCACTCATTATCATTACAGATTAATGTTTATGGCTACATCTTGTTCTTTCCTTAAGAGCCATGGCAACTGTTTCACTGTTCACAAAAAAAAAAAGAAAAAGAAGAAAAAGAAAAAAGAAAAAAATGCTAAACGTAATAAGACAGGAAAAAAACTTTACTAGTAACAGTAAAGATCCTTACTGCACAATTGTGACTCAAGAAGTCATTAAGGGGCTGCAGTTAGACCAATACTGAGAACAAGCACTTGGTCCAAGTCAATTTGAAAATTCTTCATCATCATCATCATCATCATCATCATCATCATCATCATCTGAAAAACAACCTTAGAAGGCTGCTATACGTACCTTATCCAGATTATCTCCATTATAACTTTCCAACAGAACAAACTAATGTTCTATTTCACATTGACTTATTAATACAGATTCATGATAAAGCACCTGGTTTGAATGCAAATGGTTCCAAATAGGCAGATGGTAGGAAGTAGGCAAGCAGTAGGGATCAGGGAGAAATGGCTATCGTTTGTTCACTAACTCTGGCTGGTAACCAGGACTATGAACCAGTCAAAGAACCAGTTCATGTTTGCCATGATCTCCAGCCAACCACATTCAGATTGATCCTGGTTTATTTAACACAGCATTAGGAAACTTAAGGGTTGGGGTCTACAGCTCCTGCAATATTTTGGAGAGCCACAAGATTTTTACAGTGTTTTTAAAAAAATTTTAAATATAGGAATGGGAACAGGCAACCTTTGGAACTCAAACAGCTCCATACCCCCCTTTAACACACTCAAATGCCACTTAAATCATCAAAAGTGCAGCGTCAACACTGAATGACAAAAGGGCCAAATTTGGATGGCACAATTTTGATCGGGGGGGGGGTTAACAGTGGGAACTGGAGTGGTTCGCTTTCTCAAAGCTTGTCGCTGTTTATACTCTTGTTTGAAAAAAGAATGAAACCACTGACATAATTATCTGGAGATTTGGATTAATTATGTCAACATTGTACAGATGACATACAGCTCTATTTTCTACTTAAGTAATCCAAGAAGGCTGTGAAACTCCCAGATATGTGAGGATGAACAGACTGGGATTTAGTCTAGAGAAAATGTGGATTTCTACACCAGTTTATCTGCTTTTATTTGATATACAGTAATTCAGCCTAAAGGATTGGTAGATTACTGGTAGAATATGCCATGCTGGAATATCAGTGGTGGCTGCTGAGGGAAGGGAAAATGCTGTGAAGAATGCAGTCGGGGGGGGGGGGGGGAGGGGGGGGGATTGTGGGGGGGGATGGTGAGGGGGGGGGGGGTAGGTATTGGTTGGATATGACATACCAAGAATAGCTAATGGGGGGTGAGGGTGTATGACATGTACCAATCTTGTCCTATGTATTCTGTAAAATCCTTTGGAATCCCTGGGGATTTTGTTTATCCAAAACCCAGAACAACTGAAATGTTCTGGGTTTGTTTCTGCTGAACCATGGCTGAGCTGAAAGGTTTGGCAGAACTTCTAAAACATGAAGGTTTAATCCAGATTTGAAACCAAATATATTTTCTGTTTTGTGCACACTTCTCAGCCATAATCACAAGTTTCAGTGTTGAAAGGTGACCAAGAAAAAGCATTAAGTACATAAACATGGAATAAATTACATACTCAAATAACTTACCTGTAAGTCTTTGGGCTAAGATCTAGTGAATTAATATCTTATGTGATAGTCAAACCAACAAAATCTCCTTACCTCTTGCCGTTTGAAGTTCTGAACATACTCTTCGAATTGTTCGTCTTTTGTTTCATCAGCTTTGCCTAGCTTCTGAAGCACCTATAAGTGAATAATAAGGAAATTCGGTGTTACCTTGAGCAGATCCCACCACATATCAGTGGAGGGATTATATTGTTTTGACATTATTGGTTCTTCATCTCATTCTGGTAATATCTTACTCCTACTTTCTCCCTGATATGCATCTTAATATAAAACTAATCTTGGATCACTGCGTGGGCAGCCTGGCAATGTTTCCAGAACTAGCAAGGGTCTCATCCTGTTTTTATGAAGCAATAGATCTTCCTGTCAATGAATGGTCCCAGAGGCTTTACTGCAGCACAGTAGAGAAAAATCTGGCAGAATAATAGACCGCTATGCCAGCCAATGGTGTTCAAAACCAAACTTCATTAAGCTTTCTCCTACATGTTATGGTTCATTATACATGACAGTAATCAACATTATTCCAATCTGTCTCTAATTTTAAACACATAGCAACAGAGAAACAGTGAAATAAATTGGCCTGCCAGTTAATGAGGTGTGAAATCTTAAACATGAACTGACAAGTGAGCTTTGGAGTTTATCATCCACATTAAGATGCAAGTCTTTTGTATATATTTGCCATACAAATATATACAAAATGATTATGGCGAATATTTGCATTGCTCAAAAGTCTGCGGAAGGGACCAAGATGCATGATCTCAATTAGGTATTGCATAACATCTGTGGGTGAATTTACAACACAGTGATAATAGAAGCACTGCATTAATGAACAGGTTAATATGAAATGGAATGGGATTTGAAACAAGTGCAAAGCAGAACACATACGCACATCCTTCCCCAGAAAGAGACTTCAGACCCCCTTAGGCATTGAAGAGTTCAGCTCTGCTACTCACTGGAGATGGATCACATATGTACCTCAAAGATGAACCAGACAAAATTAAAGCATGAACTTCCTAGATGGCAGGCCTCAGTTGTGCACAGAACCATTTACCCCACACTTTCATCAAAACAGAATAGCATTTAAAGTCTGTTCTGCAAGCTGTTGTCCTAACCAATGGTACCCTCACTCTTTTCTTTCTTGGAAGTGGAAGAGAGAAATAGCTGAAAGAGATAGGCATATGCAGTAACATTTAAAAACATGCCACCAAGGACAACCTTGAATTTGACAAGATTGAAGACTCAAATTTTAGAGTTACTTGGCCTTAAAAATATGATTGGAGACTACTCAAGATTTAATGAAACTAAAGAAAGTGCTTTTTGCTTGAGTTCTTTTTCTATATAAACAAATGTAAATTAATGCCTGTTCTTAAGGTGGTTTATCTAAAATATTTCCTTATTCCTGGGCATAATGCATTCCAGCAAACTCAACACTGCTCCCATGTGATACTATCTAGACAAATATTACCCTTTAAAGGTAACGGACATGTGAGTAATGTGACTGTAAATCTGCCTAGGGAAAAAAGTTTACTGATTTAGAACAGATGCAAGAAAAAAAGCAGAAGGGAATCCAATGGGATGAAAAAGGCCTTTTTGTAAAATATAAGCAGCTGCAGCCAATAGGTTTGAGTGCTGGTGGAGAAAGTCACATGATTATGCCTTGTGGGGAATTCTGGGAGTTGAAGTCCACACATCTTAAAGCTGCTGAGGCTGAGAAACACTGCATTACAGCATCTGTCTGTTTGATCTGGTCTTCCCATATGCACTCACACAGGGCTGTGAATATACACGCGCGTGCACACACACACACACTGATTGTCAGGCCAGGGTCATACTGGATATTTTCTCATCTGAGGGAGGATGGCTGAAGGTGAAGACACATAGAACTCCTTGAAAGAGAGGGAGGATGTCTTGGCCCAGAGCCTTGAAACCTCATCAAATAGAACAGCTCTGACTCATCCCTGAGGCACCAACAGAGCCATATCCCTGCCTAGAAAAACAAAGGTTGGAGTGGCAGGACTCAAAATTAAAGAGGAGGTATCCCAAGAGAGATCTGCTTTAATAAGAACCAGCTGGACTATGGAGAAGGCTGCTGTAGTGGCCTTGAAAAGGAAGCAGAGGCATTTTACAGGCAACAAGCCCCGTCTGCTCTTTGTGTCAGCATCCTATTGGAGCATCCTAGTTCCCTTCACTTGTCGCCTTTCTCTGTGGGCTATGCTGACAGTGACCATATTTTCTTGGAAAAAATAAAGGACAAACCTGAGAAAGGGGCAAACCTGGTTCATGAGGATAAAAAAAAAAAAAGTTTGTTTATACATTTGCTTTCCAAAGGAACATTCAAGAGCAAAACCAAGAAAAACTTTATAAAAACGCATATTCATTCTAGTAAAAATATCTAAAATCAAACAGTATATGTAAATGTATTTTAAAAACACAATTCAATGGCATGAATTTGAAAGACTGTGGATTAAGGGGTAGTCTTTGTATGGTAAAAGTTAACTGACCAAAATAAAGGACAAAAGTGAGTTTTTGAAAAATAAATAAATAAATCTAAAGGACACCTTTCTTAAATAAAGGACCGTCCTTTATAATAGAGGACATACGGTCACTGTATCTATGTCCCACTCTTGCCTAGGTATATTACATTGTTTTACAAGCTGTAAACATCTAGACAATCCCTAATGTCTGCAAAAACGTACAGAAAGCTAACTCTTGGCAAACATCTACTGGTTTTCAGGATTTATGCCCTAGTCTTGCTCTACTATTGTATTGTAAGCTCTGGCTGACTAATTTTCTTCTTCACAACTAGCATCTGTTATCACTTGACTAGAGGTCTTCACAAAGAGGCAGAGTAAATTCCCCCTTATATACTGCATTTCAGATGCAAAAGTTAGGAAGGCGATTTCAGTTGCCTCTCTGAGCCAGGACAACTTCCTTGTAAACATTTAAGCTGCTCTTAGGTTCTGGAGTTTTTGAGATATACCGAAACTCCCAAGAATAGGATGGAGAAGGAATACGTAAAAGCCACTGAGCTATAAGAAGCCCTTAAAAGACAGTTAATTACATTAAATGAAGATATGGTTAGAACAGACAAATATTGGACAGAAAAAGGATAAACAATGAAGAGGCATTCCTTTCATGAAAAGTTGGGAACTGAAAAATGTTAACTTTTAGAGGAGTTTTGAATAAAATTAAGCTGACAGACCATTATGTCTTCTCCAATCAGGGTAGTAAATGATATATTTAACCATACTGATCATATTTTCTGCAAATAGCCCCAGCTCCGTTTCTACCCAGAGCTATTAAAATGTCCTTCCTGGCTAAACAAGAGCTATACATATAAGCATGTTGTGACTTCATTAATGAATCTTTTGACAGGCAGTAATTGCTCAGGCATCAACACCCACACACCTGACACTAAATGCTCAAATACACCCCTGATCCATTATTTTAAGGGTTGGTACATGTCAGTGTGGTGACAAAGAAGCCACTTTTGCTTGTGACATCAAGATGTGAGAAGACCTACAGTCAGGATACACACCCAGATGGGAGCGAAGTCAGGACTTTCAGCTGTAATTCAAGGGGTTTGAAAAAAGTGGGGCACTAACTATTCAGGAAGTACAGCCAGTGGCATACACATACCCCCATTGTTGGTGGCTGATAAGTAATGGAACAAACCAACATCATTACAAACATAAGGATCACCTTTAATACCTGGATG